AGAGATAAAATTTTTTATTTGGTTACGTACGTCAGCTCGCATTAATTACTTCTTCAAAGGAGGCTATGAAATGTTACTGCTGTTTGCTGACATTTCGCTATTGACGCTGAGTGTCCTCAACGGAGACTGAGATGAGGCGTAATACAAAGAAACAACCGATTAACAATAGCGAAATGTAAGCAAACAGCGATAATACTCCTTAGCGTCAAGACTTACGAAGAAGTAACTAATGTAAGTTGATGTATGTAACCAAATGTGAAATTTTATCTCTTAATATTGTAACACTGAAGATGATCTATGTATTAGAATTAGTTTATGTAGAATATATTATTATAATCGTACACATCAACGTAGCTCTTTAGCTCACTTCCTTTTTATAACAATTACGTTTATTTCTGTTCAAAATTAATTCAGGAACCTGATATTCCTGAAAGTTATATAGATGCCAAAATGTATTAATATAATATAATATATTATAAAACTGCTTTATAATATTTAGAGTAAAACTTTAGAAGCATTTAATAGCTTTGATCTTGACATACATTTGTCACTTTTGTTTAGTTCTTTGTAAAAATTAATTTATGAAATTAATATTCCTTGGAGTCATATACGCCAAAATGTATTCACATAATTATTATATAATTTATTATAATCATTCATTCCAATAGCGCTACAGCTCAAATTGAGCTCTAGCAATCTCTTCACATGCCTGTGATATACATACGCTGATTGTACACAGGCATGTGGATCTATACAGTTAAAGCCGATTCCGAACGGTAATTATTTTTGAGAAAGGTTTTCGAGGCAAAAGATACTCTCGGTGGTTTGCCAGACCTCCGGAGAGGAGACGCAAGCGTATGAAAATTTGTTGGTTCTGCCGGAAATCGAACCTCTAACATAACAGACCAGTACGTTGTCTGTTACACCACGCTCGCAATTATTAAATATAATATTTAAGTTATTATATACAGGGTCTCTGTATATAATCGTCCGCATTATCTCTTAAAAACGTATTCTTGAGATAATTTGAAGACGAAAATCCTAATACAAAAATGTTGAGGCTATAATAGTTTTTAAATTAGTAGCGATTAAAGTTCTCAAATCTGCACAGATCTGACATTTCGCGCGCTCAGGCATGTTGATGTGACAAGTGATAAAGGTATTATCACGCGGGCCTTCTCAACAACATCGAGATTATCATACAAATATGTAATGATATTTTTATTAAGAAATCGTTTCTGCTTCTATACCGAATCTATTTGTACATAACGTATGTATAATTAATATAGAAACATATAAAATATTACGAGCTGTCAAAATAAATTCATAATCATATTCATTTTCGTCATATCGACACTTGTTATATCGACATGTCTGAGCATGCGAAATGTCAGCTCTGTGATTCGAGAATTTTAACCGCTACTAATTTAAAAACTATTGTAGCCTCAACATTTTCGTATTAGAATTTTTGTCCAAATTATCGTATTAGGATTTTTCTCCAAATTATCTCAAGAACACATTCTTAAGAGATAATGCGGTAGTGACGGGACATCCTGTATAACAATTATATAACATTTTACATGTTATTATTATGCCATATAAATGTAATGTTCAATAAATGAAAGAACATATAAATGTAATATTTAATAAATGAAAGAACAGCAAACGTTATATAATATCCACGTTACGCGTATCAAACACGTTATATTACCTAAATTTCGTTTTACTATGGCATACGTCTGTGTTTGCTGGGATATATCTGTATTGCAATTTATAAAATCTGTACTTACCATGGCGGCCTCCTCGTCCTTTTTAACAACCTGCTCGATCTCACTTGCTTCCTCGCTCTGTCGCTGCACGTCCAGGAACATGGCCTCCACTTCCTTCGCGGTCACCAGCAGCTTCGGCTGAAGAGCCACCAGGACCTGCTGCATTCTGCTGACCTCTTTCCGAGTGCTGTCCAGCCTGTCGAGGCCACCCTCGTATCTCTTCTTACCCTGCAGTACCTCCTTCCGTTTCCGGTCCAGTAGATCCTTGAACGTGTTGATGAGCTCCAGGTAGGACGTCGGCGTGACGTAATTGTGACGATTCAGCCGTCTCAGGAAGTCCCGCGTCAGTTCCTGCGTGGACGTGTGGAAGTACTGACACATCGCGATGCAGGCGTGACGCTCGTCGCTCGGCATGCTGATCTCGCCCAAAAATTGCGTGGCGACCGCGAGCAGGGCGTCCTCGGGCCAGGGTTGCAGCCAGTCGATGGTGCAACAGTTCACCAACGCGGGAAACTTGCGGATTCGGATGCGGAAGCTGGCGCCGATCGGCGACATCGTCACCACCACGTGCAGGTGCTCGCGCACCGTCTGCACGAAGAAGTTGAAGAGCGCAACCGGGCTGCCGTCCGTCTGCACCGACCTAAACGCGATTCAAAAAAATTAATATCGATCTTTATTAATTATTATTTTAATTATTTTAATTAAAACTGAATTTATTAGTTATTTTGCTTCCATCTTTCTGTCACAATTTTGAATGCTTCTCATATCGCATGTATTTAGCGTACTTTTTTTTATTTTTTGTAATACTATATAACTTTTTGATTTTTAATATCATCAATTTTTTTGAAATTTAGTGCATGTAATATTATAATTTCTTCTGTTTAAATTTTAATATTCAATCTTCCGAGTTTATTAATTAGTTTCATTAAAAGCGTTCTTAATTAATAGGAGAATTTTTTTAACATAAAAAAATTTATTTGTACCATATACATAGAAATCTCTCTTGATATAACTTTAATCTTTTAATTAATGCTAACATTTATCGATAATAAATTAAATCCATTTGAAATAAATATCAGTTTACATGAAGCGAATATTTGAGAAATTGATGTGAAAAATAATTACAAGAATCAGAATTAAAAGATTCAACGGCATTTTCTGTATTTTTATTACTTTACGAAGAGCAGCAGCATAATTATTAATTAATCAAACAATTCCATCCTTTATTATAGAGATTTAATAAATATACGGACTGCGTCACGTAAAGACGCAGTCCGCAATAAATTAATATTATCGCTGATTAATCAAAAATTTAATTATTCAATTTCAATGAAATATTCTATTTGTGGGAGATATAAACCTGTCCCTCTGCCGATCGATGATCCGCATTTTCTCGCAGATCTCGGACTTCTCGTCTGCCGCGAAGAGATTGGGCACCTCGCCGGAATTGAGGAGGTTGCTGATGTCCTCGAGGAAGGTCTCCTCCTTGATCTGCGTGTCCATGAAGAGAAAAACTGTGTGCAAGTCGCTCGCGGCGCTCTTCCGCAGGATGTTCTTCAGGTCCTCGTGCCACTCGTACATGCCGTACTGCTGGGATATCTGCACCTGGAAGAGCTCATAGTCGGATATGTGTGCCGCCAACTTTGTCAGGGATTGCCGACCGGAGCCGCCCATGCCGACCAGAAGAGCGTGGCTGCGCGGCTGCATCATCACCCGGCAGATCTTCGAGAGATGCTCTATTGCGAATCTAAAAGACAAGTTGATTCGTTAAATTAATTCGTCCAACCGTTTAATCTAACAAAATCCACCTTGAGATCTTCACATTCAAAGATCCATAATAAAAAGAAGAGCAGAAAAGGTTTTAAATTGATATCCAATTGCTTACAAAGCTTTAAAAAAATTAAATCTCATTGATTTACGATTAATAGACCTAGAAAAAAGTTGAAAACGTACTGTCAATATCAATTTTTATTTTACTTCTTAAGTTTTCTCGACAGTAATTGATGTAATCTTCAAGTATTGATAATATTTTTTATAAATTTGAAGAAGAATAGATCTCTGTTTGCATATAATTTACATAGTATAATTTTTGCAATGCTAATTCAACGCGATTAAGGTCCCGACCGCGACGGTCTAACTCCACGGCATCGCTGTTTTACGACAATTAAAGCAACACTGAAGATAAAATTAAACGCAATTATTTTCAGATTCATCAATTTTTTTATTGGTTGCACAGAATTATAAATTCTTTTTCAAAATTAAAGTATAGAGACTTATAACGGACTGCAACGGCAACAATTTTACACATAAAAAAAACGAAAAAAGATTAGAAAATTATCGGCTTCTGCAGTCAACTCGTGACACGTGCTGCGTATAAACATTTTAAACTTTGTACATATAAAACAAGCTTGGTTCTCACGGTCAGGATGAAAGAATAATATTATGCTTTTCTAATGAGCGTAGATGCTTTAGTATAAAAAAAAGATGAATCTAAATAGAAATATCATTGTACCTGTATGAGTTCAACATTGATGTAGCAATAAATCAACATGACATAACATGTACACACTATCACATCAATATCGCACACACATATAAATGCACAAATCGTAGGTAAAACAGTAACGCCGTGGAGTTCGGCCGTCGTTTCAGCATCGCCTTGATTTCTTTTCGGATCGATTGAAAATATACCTGAAGAGCACAAGGTCCATTGGCGTCTTCGAGATATCGTTGTACTCGGTGAGATACTCCTCCACCGCTTCGGCGAGCTCGTCCCAGTCTTGAACCTCTGCGTACAATTTCTGTTCGGCGATCGGGTCATAGAAGTCGCAGAAGATGAGATTTCGCAGATGCACCTCCGTTAATTCTACTCCAGGCTCATCCTGTAGATCCTGAAAAAGGCTGTCCATGTCGTCGTCCATGTGCTCCTTTATGGTCTTCCGGATCTGCTCCACCAGCCATCTGCTATCGGCCTCGTCGACCAACCGATCCCCGTAAACTCGGAGCACCTCGTGGACCCATAAACGCTTCATGCTTACCTTAAAAATTTATTAGACAAAAATCATTTAATTTTTTTATGTAACTTTCCATGAAGATAATGTGTGATAGTCTGATATATATATATATATATTTTTTTTTAAAGATAATCGGAATTCTTTAAGAAAGAAGATATAGAAGCAAAAGTATAAATCGCTTTCTTTCTTGAAATAAAAAACGAGTTAGAAAATTTATTTAACTTTACTTTGTATAATTTTCATTCTAATATAATCGACACTGTACCAGATCAATGATGGCCTCAGGGGTGGAGAGCAGCACGCCCTGAATGACCCGCGAGAAGTCGCGCAGATTGAACAGATAATGCGACTTCGCGGGGGTCGGCAGCAGATTTCTCCTGGTCTCCTTGTACACGTCCAGAGTAGCATGGACTATCTGATCGATGCACGGATCGAAGAATTCCGGGAAGCCACGGGTGGTAAAATGCCAGGTGGTGATCCTGCCGAATATGGTGACCAGGACGTCGTCATCGAACTCGGAGATCGCCAGGGTGACAAAGTGCCGTTTGAACCGCGGCGTGACGTCACGTCCGCCAGCTGGCGGACCCATCGCGCACATCAGTTGAATGTCCACGAGCTTGATCGGCACCACTTCCTTCCAGTCGTACCAGGTCCAATGGTCGAGCCATTGACGCAGAAGCTCGATAGGAGGCTGCGCGCCGTATTCTTCTTTCTGCGGCATCGACACGTCGTCCACGAAGACCACCCAGTGCTGACCAGGCGGCGCGCCAAATAGACCTTATCAGAAATAATTATTGGATAATGATGATGATAGTAATAATTATATTGATTATGACGATGATAATGATGATAATAACAATTGAAGATAAAATTAAAGATAAATGTGTCTCTCGATAATGATAATGATAATAACAATTGAAGATAAAATTAAAGATAAATGTGTCTCTCGACAAAACTGGGAATATATATTTCGAATCAATGGCGAAGATGATGAAATTACGAGTATAACTTAATATAAAAACTATTAATATAAACTAACGATTAATATAAAAGCTATTTTCAAAATGATATTTTGTCTGAAGTCTTCTTTGTCTACAGAACTTGTCTCAAAGTTCTTTTTTTATAATACTTCAAGTGATTGCATTTCGAATTACGATAAAAATAACAAAATTATAAAAGCAACTTGACGATAATTTTGAGTAGATCATAAAGGAGAGCATGACAATTTTTTCAGAAAATTTTTTCCAGAATCTACAAGGCTTAATGGCCTAGTAGAATTAACGATGCATTACGATAATTGTAAAAATATTTTCAAAATAGTATTTTGCCTAAAGTCTTCTCTACTTTTAAAATCTTTTTTTTCTTGACGATGCCTCAAGCGGTATTGTTAAGTTGATCATGCAAACTCGACGATAAAGCTTTAACTTCGAGATCACGCGCAAGGAGAAAAAAATTGTTTTCAACTTCGTCCAAGATCTTTTAAAAGCTTAAAGTCTCTCTTAAAATGCCCTTGAGCAAAGTTAAAAATAACTTTCCTTTTTGTGCGATGAAAAAAAATTAACAAGATTTTAATCTCATACTTTAAAATGCTTTTTAGAAAGTGGATTTATGTCTATCTTCTACAAAAACTTAATGGTCCGAAATGGTAAGGTTTAATTTTACTGAAGAAACTGAAACCTTATAGTCATTTTTTTAGCGTTAATAATGTTTGTCTTATTTATACATTGTATACATTTAAATGAAATATTATCATCTGCAAATAACAATTTGGAAAGTGTCAAGATCAATATTTTTAATTGATAATCCTGTTGTTTCGCGCATTCTTTTACTAAAATAATTTCAATAGTAATAAAATTAGTGTATTAAAATATAATAACTAGTAAAAATTAGTTCAATGAAATTAATCTATTAAATTGATGATACATACCTTTCCTCCTTCGGTCCAGCTTGCTCATGATGATATCCTGCGTCTGATTGGCAGTGGTCTGCGCCGAGAATATTACAAAGAGCGGCTTGAAGATCTCCGGATTGTTCTTCTTCAGCAGGAACTCCATGATGTAGACGGATTTTCCGGTGCCTGTCGGTCCGACCAAAAGAACCGGCTTGTGATGGCAAACGAGATACCTGAAGAGATGGAAGTATCGGACGGTCTCCACCGTGCTGACGATGATCTGGTTCACCGGCATGTCTTTGGGGATCGGCGGGACGTCCTTCAGATCCTCCAGCCAGAGTTCCCACCTGCCCTTACCTTCCTTGACGTACTTGTAGTCGAAGACCGAACCATTGGACGGTAGAGGGACTATGTAAGGTTTCTCCGGATCGCCGATTTCCGGCGATATGCCAAAGCGTTGGCACACTTCCGACGGAAATTCGCGTTCCGCCAATGCCCTGAAGAGCATGTCAAACCACTCACGGTAATTGACCATCAGCGTGACGCCCATCGCCCAGATGCACGAGAAAAAGAAGCAGCCCTATGCGAAGAATAACTCCTAAATATTTCTTCATTAAAGTCATTTATGAAAATAATTGAGATATTGAGAGATCCAATGTATGTATAATTAACAAACATTAAATTTTAAAATACTGCGATTATTAGTTTAATGTAATTATAGAATTGTATAATTATATAATTATATAATTATGCGGTTGTAATTCTGTAATTACAATTATACAATTAATTGAATTATAATTATTTTGATGTAATTAATCTCATAATTAATTTGATAATAAAAGTACGGTTAATAACCGGTTTTAAATCAGGATTATAATAGTCAATAAATTAAAATTAATATTTGTTTAGTGTCTTTGTGTTTAAACCATTATTATTGATAAAATAAATAAAAAGTAGCAAAATTCATTTCTTCAAAAAAATGTATTTTTAATCAAAACTTTTTTTCTGTCAATTTAAATTTAAACAGAATTGAAATAAGTGTATAAATTAAGAATAATTATACCTGTTATTTTTTTCATGTTTAAATCGTTATTGCCGATAAAATGAATAAAAAGTAGCAAACTGCATTTCTTCGAGAAATGCGTTTTTAATCAGAATTTTTCTGCCAATTAAAAATTGAAATAACTGTATAACTAAAATTATAAAGGATACCCGTTAATTTCGCAATTTATGTATGTAGTATAATTTAAACTCACTTCAACTTGCGCTCTCATGTCCAAGTCGGAGAGCGCGCTCACATATTTCTCGTTGCGAAAATCGTCCAGGAAGCAGTCGTACAGGTACATAACCGAGCGTGTTAGATTAGCATCCGGCATCGTTATCATTTCCTGCGGGCGGAGAGACCGTGAGAATTTGTAATTTCCAATGGAAACGAGAAAAGTTTCCGCGTATAATACGCGAAGTTTATTTGTTTATTCTTTTGCCAACAATATACATATTCTCTAGACAGAAGTAAATCCAGAAAGGCAATCGTGCGTTGGGTTAAGAATCTGAATGTTTTAAATTTCGGGGGAAAGAGCAATTTCCTTTTTAGTGACCTACCTTTGCACCGCAACGGCGAATCAGATGCAACAGAGGCGGACAGAAGCGCAGGTACATGTCCTTCAAATGGCTCTTAATGTCCTCGGTGAACCTGGGCGGTAATGTGTTCAGCCACGAGATCAAAAGTGGAGTCCAGCCCAGACTCACCGGCTCCATGTAGATCATGCCACACCGTGATACTGTGGCAGGGGACGCAACCTAATAAGCATGATATTCCACTTAAGTATTTGAAAACGTATTTATTTCAGATTTTTATCTTATTACTGATAAATGTCACGAGCACAATTAGAAAAATCATACGGACGCGATACAATGCTTTAAAAGTTTGCAGAAATAATGAAAAGAGATAACATATTGAATCATTTTTATACTGTATCCATCAATTTTTAATTTTTTAAATGTAATTTAAAAATGTAATTCTAATTTTAATATTAATTGTGTTATAAATTTCAAATCCTGTGTTAAGTTATAATTTTTAAGCTCTAATTCCTAAATTCATGCTAAATTTGAAATCTTAAATATATACTTTTATATAATAAATATCTATTTTTAAATATCTATTTTTTAATTTTGAGGTTTTTTTCATTCTGAATGTAACATTTTTAATTTTTATTTCTTTTCTAGGTACCAATACTTTACACAAATTACATTTACATAAATTCAAATTAATAATGCATTTTTTAAACTTTCCGATAGTCGAAAATTTCAAACGACGAAATTCAGCTTTTTGTCTTATTTTTTATAACGTATTTTTTACCTACACCAAATTTCACAGTGATAAGATAATTATTTCCCACAAACGAACATTGATCAAATGTTGAATCGAAATGATTTAATCACGAATTATACCTCCAGATCCATGGGCTCGAAAATCAGGTTGGTCGTCGGCGCGAGCTGGATAATCTCTCCGGACGTGAGGCAGAGCTTCTTATTGTCGTCCAGCACCGTGTTCATATTCTCGATCCAAATCGCGTCCACCGGGCCGTCGAAGATCAGCCACTTCCTATTCAGATTAACAGAAGCGGCGAAAGCGCGGTAGGACACCGCCAGCACCCCGTCGCTCCACTCGTGCGACGCCGGATCGAATTGGCCATACAGCTGGCCCATCGTGATGGCCTTGGGATTGATGACGGTGATCTCCACGCGATGTTCATCCATCAGCTGCCTATCCTCTAAGAAGCCGAGGCAGTCGGCCAGCATTCGGTAGGCCGAGGTCTTACCGCCGAACGGCGGCCCGACGATCATAAAGCCATGGCGCACGATCATCATCTCGTAGATCTGCTGGATCTTCTCCAAAAAGTGATCCGTGCACTGCAAATTCGCCGCGGTGCACGCGTCCCGCGTGCACGCATTGATGTGCGTGTAATCCGGCGTCGGCAGTACGACGCCGGGAAACAGATCCGAGGCTATCCCTGCCGTCAGAAGAAATACATTGGATTTTAAAATTAATCTAAGCAATCAAAAATTGTTTTGTAACTTTTCATCAAGTATATAACACACGTATTCTAAAATTTGCTAGAATGGCTGCGCTAGCTTTGAGATTAAAATTCTCGCAGTCTCTTCAGCGCAATCAAATGGGACTTGCGCAGAAATTACCTCCTATTTAGTCGCTAAATTAATCACGCAAATCCCGAATTTTTTTGCTCCAGCCGTTTCGGAAAAGACAATTATGATTTTTTATTACAATATAGGAATGATAAAATTAATTGATTAATTTTCTTCGTTTACCTCTTTTTTTTAAATATAGTGCTTTCAAGTATATTTAAATTGTAAAAGTAATAATAGTTAAATATTAATAATACTAAAAATAAATTTCGTTTATACAAAATCAAACGTGACTCTAGAGAATCAAAGTTAAGAAGAATTCTCTCCAAATTTTTGAAAAAGTTTATAATTTGATTTTGATATTTCCTATATTTTGAAATTAATTTAGTAATTTAATTTTTGTAGTAAGATTTTTATGTGTTTTATTTTCTGAATGATGTATATTTCAGTAAAAAATTTACGAAGAGCGAGTCAAACAATCGGAGAAATAATTTTTCTTGAAAAAAGAAAAAAACATACCTTCAAAGAGCGGCAGATCGTGGACCAGGAATTTCGGCTGATTAACGTCCAGAATACTCCTCAGCATCAAGATGTCCTCGGACTCATCGGGATAGCGAAGCTTCAGATTACCGGCGGCGATCAGCACGGATTTAACCGCCCTCATGCCGTAATCGTAGTGATGCTGACTGCTGAGCTGCTCCGAGCAGAGCTTGTAAGCGGTGACGATCTTCACGGCCAACGGTCTACCGTTGTAGAAGCCGTAGGAGTATAAGGTGTTCTCCGCGATAAGAGCATAATCGGGCACCATCATCGCCACCGGGCGGAAGAGGGCCTTAAGATTGTCCGGCAGTTCGGTCCTGCCGGCGTAGCCCGGATTCATGGTGATGAATATGGCGCAGGTGGGGTCGAGGAAGATCTCCGTGCCCTCGAAGATCATCTTCTCGGCGCCGGCGTTAATCGCGCACTGGATCGTCAGGATCTGCTGCGCGATGACCGACAGTACCTCCAAGTCGATCCGATTGAACTCGTCGAAGCAGGACCAGGCGCCGCACGAGGCCAGACCCTTGAAGAACTTGCCCAGCGCGATGTAGTCGAGGCCCTCGGAGCAGTTGAAGACCACGCACTGCTTGGCGACCGCCTTCGCCAGGTCCTTCGTGGTCTCTGTCTTGCCGGTGCCGGCCGGTCCCTCGGGCGCACCGCCCAGGTGAAGGCTCAGGGCGCCGAAGAGAGTGCGGTAGCATCGATCTGTCAGCGGAGTGATCACCAGGCGAGACGTGTTACCGAGGTACTCGCAGCCGTAGCGTATGTATGAATTGATCATGTACGCCCACATATTGTCCTCCTGCTCGAATGAAACGAAATAATCATAGGATAATGCAGGATTGGAAGTAAAACGTAAAAAATTAAAGATATAAAATAAATATAACATATCAATTGGCCAAGCTACTGATATGAGTTATATAAATATAATTGTAATTGTAAACGCTAATGTGTAATTTTTTGCATTTGTAATAAATTTAATTGATTTAGTAAATTATGAATTTAAAAAGTTAAAATTAAGTATTTTAGCAGAAGGATTATGTTAGATTTTTTTTTCAAATTTTCAGAAAAAAGTAAATTTCTCTACATTACATAAGAAATAGTTGAAAACACATTAGAGTTGCGTATTCTTGAAACTAAAATTTTGCAACGTACGTAATTTAACAAATATAATTAACAAATGTGATTTAAATATGTAATTTAAATATTAATTAAATAAACGCACCAGCCAGTAGTATCTAAGCTGGCATAGCCATTTGAAGTCGGTATTTTTTACAACTTGCTCCTTGTACAGTTCCGCGAGAACATCCTTGCTGTGAACGTCTATAGTAACGAGCGCCTCTGAAAGAGACAAACATTTAAGAACTTCCAATTAATACGAAACACATTACTAAAAGATACTCTAAAAAATGTAAAGATTTACATACCCAAGGTAATGCGATTCTGCTTTGAGAGGGTTCCCCTGATCAGCAGAATGATGTCGTTCAACTCCTTCTGGCACTGGTCCAAGTATTTCTCCAAACCGGCCACTCCCTTCAGCATCGCCTCCTCGACTTGTTGCGTCCAGTACGTCTGGCCCACGCAGAGAATGGTCTGACCGGGCCACTCGAGGACCCAGGCCGTCCTCACCTTGAGGTGATACGCCAGTATCGCTTGATACACCATGTGACGCACGCTCTTCCGCATCTCCGCCTCGAGCTCGGCTAACCACTTCTCGACTTGCCCTCGGGCCATGGCAGTGGATATAACCTCCAGAATAGCGACCTCTTCGCCTTCCGTGGATCGCATCGCCAGCACCTCGAGGTCTACGTTGAACTTCAGTCGAGCTATGCCTTCGAAGCATTTCTTCAGATGCGGCTGCACGCTGAAGAACAACATCATTCGATAACAGAAAGAAATAATCTTATCCGCGAAGTCGTCTAAATTAGACATCATAAAATAAAGTTGTTTATAAACAATTCATTTAAATTGTGATTGTATTTTTTCTCAGAAAAATATCAAGTAGAAAAGCTAGTCTATTTTATTTCTTTTGTTAGCAAAAATTAAAATTAATAAAATTAATACAAATTAAGACGTAGGTATCTAAAATAGAAATTAATAAACATGAATAAATATAATTATACCAAACTGTACAAAATTAAAATTATTACAAATTTTATATAAAATTAGAAATAAAATTAGAAACTAAAATTGACTTGTTAATTGTTATTGTTATATTCACTTCACTTGATATTTCTTAACTTATATTTATAATTTAATTATAAACGACTTACCGCGTGGGATCCTTCGTCTCGGAGAGAATCTCGAGCAGTTCGTCGTTGGAGAGGAAGAAGAATCTGGGGAAGAAGAGCCTCTTCTTCTCCAGGTATTCGTTCAGACCTTTTTGAATTAGCTCCAACAGCCCGTAGCTCTTCTTCAGCCGCTCCAGCATCTTCTCGATCTCGACGATTGCGAGAACGAGCGGCTCGCTGTGGACGTTCTTCATGATGTCCCGCCATATCTTGTCGACCTGCGCGAACTTTCGCCCTTCTTCCGGCATCTGCTGCTGGATATCCGGCGAGGTGAAGATTGGCTCCAAGTACATCCACGTGCCCTGCACCTTCAGCCACTGGTCCAGAATATCCTCCAGCAAGCGCAACGTCTTCTCCCATTTGCTGAAGTTAAAAAGTATCACGTAACAAAATATTAAATGATTTTCATTATACACATATCACAAATGTTACAAATATGGAACTAATAAAATAAAATTAATAATTTCATCAATTATAACGTAATAATAAAAAATATAACTTACAATATTTTTAGAAGTATAACATGACACCGATATATACGTGTAATATAAATATATATTAAAATAAAATTGGATTCAAGACCCTCGGAAACATTAATTCATTATTTTCAACATATTAGAATCGCAATTAATTCTTACAGTATTCTAGCCTCAAAGGGCTTGATGTAGGGTGAGTTCTTGATAGTCACCGTCTTCGTGATGTGATCATCCAGCAGGAGTTGTATCTCGTCGACGCTGGCAATGACGTAGGTGCCGGTGTCCTTGTAAGGATTCACCGTAAAAATCAGGTCGGTCCAGTCTCGCTGCATCTTGTCCATGCCCTTCTCCAGAGTGTCCTCTTTCGTGGCGGCCTCCGAGATGCCCTCGAATTGCGCGATGTAGGCCTCCAGACCCATACCCAGGACCTTGCCCAGCGTCAGATCGGGGTCGTACTTGATGGGAACGCCCGTGATCGCCGAGATCAGTTCCCAGTGCCGCGTCTTCAGCCCGGGATTGCCCAGGGTCATCACCGCCGGCATCCGCTCCTTAAACTCCTCGATCCTCTCGCGAACCGCGGCCGCCAGGTCACGCACGGCCGGCTCCTGGAACCCTTTCTCTAGCTTGTAGATCGTCCTGAATACGATTTTACATACCGTCAAAAAACCAAAGCGATACAAGTGCAGTGTAATAGTAATATAAATAACATTATTGTTAAACAGTTTTGTGTATCAAAATTAAATTAATTTTAGCTAATTAATTATAATCAATTATGAAAAAAGGGATAGATATTATTACTGTAGAATTTTTTAATAATTCTCATCTTTATCTTTTATTTTTTGCCAAGATTTCTTAAGACTTGAAATTTTTATTGCAACAAATTTTATCTTCCATTTTGTTATAATTTTTTAGATCCGATTATTGACCTGTAATACGTTGCTACATCGTTGTCGATCTCCTCGGGGTTGTGGGTGCCAATCGTGCTGTTTATCCACAAGTCGTATTTGGTCAAGTACTCGCAGATGCAGTCGAAGAGCTTCTTGAAGGGTTGCAAACGATCGGCAATCTGTTTGCGCAGCGGATACTGCGTGATCTCCCAGTTGAAGGAGGCCTCCTCCTCGTTGAACTTTTCGATCTTGTCCATCGCCGTGATCAGCCGGTTCTCCAAAGCTTGCGCCCTGCGCTGGTACCGATACACCTCCTCGATGTTGCCCCAATATTTCATCTCCTCCACTTGTTTCACGTACGAGTCCAATTCCTCCACGAATCTCAGATATCGAACTGTAAAAAAAAAGAACGAACTTTGCCTTTCGAAATATTTATCATGGCGCTTAATATTAACGTTAAAAATTAATTGAAGAACGCAAATGCGAATCATGTAAACGCATGTAAAAAAATTGTTTTTTAATGAGTCCAATTTTTAATCATTAAAAATCTAACCAATCCAACTTTTAAAAAATCAAATATTCAATTCTTTTTACAGAAGTGATTGATATTTTTAGAAGGAAATTAATTTATTTCTGTATAAAATTCTACGTGCCTCAGTTTAAATTATTGGGAGTAGTTTTATATATTATACATATATTGTATATATACAGGATGTTCGGTACTCAATAGTAAAGCGCTCGTGGGCAGGTAGAGTGGGCTAAGCTGAATCGAAAAGTCCTCTACCATTTTATTTTCTTTGCATTATCAAGGTATTAATTATTTTTATAAAAATTTATACCAAATATATAAAAAAATATCGTACATTACATCTTTCCTAAACCATTGATCATTTTAGTCACTTTAAGCTTGTTTTACGAAACTTAAAATTATTTGAAAATTAAATTAAGAATTTCAAACAATTAAAGCCAATAAGTTCTTGACATATATATACGTTTTAGGATGCTTGTAGCATCATCGAATTTAATATGTGATATTATTTCTGTTTTAAGAATGCTCATAATTGCGTTCTTAAAGTATCGAATCAGTAATCAACGCGTTTGTTGACGAGTTTTACGTTGACTGAATTTAAATATAATTAAAAATATTACTAGGCAACCAACATCAGTCCCGGATTTGGCTCTTTCCGCCTTAATTACTTATTGTAAATTAATTGAGATTGTTGCTCCGGAATCGGAGTAATCATGGAAGTGTACCTTTCAGCGCATCTTGGTACTCCCGCGTCTTGTTCTCGACGATCATCCGGTTGTCCTCGAGGATCTGGGGCATTCTGTGATACCATTGGAAGGCCACGCTGTTGTTACTTATCTCGCTCTCCGTTAACAGCCAGTAATCCGACAGGAACGCGATGTGCTCGATCACGTCCAGCAGTCTGAGCTCCAGGCTCTTTAGAGTGACGTCATTGGTAGTTCGAATGAACTTGATGAGTTCCATCAGAGCCGCGGTATTGGGAGGCGGGGTGAGGGCTCGTCCGGATATAGCTTCATATTCCGCTGTGACACTGTGATACAGATTTAGTTTGAGAGAATTGAACTCCATATATAACGTTCTCCGAGATAGGGAATTGGTCGGGGAAACTCAAATTAACTTTACACGAAACAACTCCGAAGTTACTCCGCAATTAATTCCATGCGCTAAATGTAAAAAGAAATTACACTCTATGCACGTTTCGTCATTATAATCGTTGCGTTAATAAATAGAATATAAAATACCTTATGTACGAAATTCAAATTATTATGTATACATTTGCCGTTAATTAAAAGCTAACGAATTAAAAGAAAAGTTAAAGACAAGGATTACCAAAGATTCTTAATCAATGACGCTTAATTAAAAGTCTTATTATTAAGTGCATATAAAATATTTAACATTCACTTCTTTGTCGTGTTCTGGTATCGGTCGATAAGTCGGTGAATTAGAAGTCCTTTGAAATGCTCGACGTTCTCCACCACGGCCGTGATGAAGAATGCGTGAGAAACTTCGAATAATCCCGCGAAAACCGTCCTCTCGATCTCGATCGGTATTCCTCCGGCGAGATCGTGATAGTGTTTGATCTGCGTCTCGTACTCCCTCAGCTTCATCCTCTCGTTCAGCAAGAAAGCCTCCGTCCGGCCGAGTTCTTCGCCGTTGTAGAGATGCGCGTATCTGCAGAGAAGAAGAAAAAAAAAAGAAACGGAATTAAGTCATCGAGTCGCGTCGTTTATCGTAGCCGCGCCTGCGACAATGGGATCGATAAGCACCTTCTCAATTCTGCCATCTTCCGCTCCGGGATTATTCTCTCGCGATCGATCAACCGATTTATCTGTCCCTTGAGCTGCTCCACGATGGGCTGCGATATCTGCGGCTGCAAACCGTACAGAGAGCCGTTTGCAATAATCGTTTGAAAGACGAGTACTTTTATAACTTCACAAATTATTATGTAAAAAATAAAATCCACGAATACATACATAATTTTATTGCCACATAATGAATCATGAATTTATAAAAAGGTGGTCTTTTAAATTATTACTGCAAATAATAATTGTGTGTAGCAATTATTATGTATAAATTTAAATGATTATCATTAATATTTAAATAATACTTTTTATTGTATATCTATAAACAATGATTTAAAGTATATAAATTAGTGTCTATATTCTAAATAGTTATGTAATAATGACTTAAAAGATGGGGGAGAAATAATTTTATTTGGCAATTCATATTTTACGATAAAAAGTCTCAAAATAGGAAGTCGGTTCTCCGCTTGGCTCTCCATATTTTATGATGCGGAACCTTAAGGAATTCTTGAGGTCCTGCCCAATCGAGATAGAGCTGCGTCTCCAATCTTTCAAAATTCCTCACAGCGTTGCATATCGTCTCGAGAATGTTGCAAAGCGATTCCTTGAATTTGTCGAAGGACGGCTCGAAAGCGAGCTCCTTGAAGATCACGACGATGTTCACCTTAAAGTAGCAGGCTACGGGCTGTGAAGAAACATAAAAGGAATGGTACACATTCTGTCGAGACATCAGTCGGAAATTTTTCACGAAAATCAAGATGTGAACATTGAAATCCTAGGAAAAATTAATTGTCGTAATAATCTACTTTTACAAAAATCAGATAAAGATGAAGTTGAAGGTTTAAAATATAAATGGCTAAGAAAAACTTATTTTTCTAAATAGTATTCACTTATTAATCTGCAAAATAAATGTCAGTCGAAAATTTAGCGTGAAAATAGAGATAAAAGCAAAAGTAGAAATTTTAAGAAAAATTAATTGTCACAATAATCTAATTTATAAAAATAAGATAAAAGTGAAGTTAAAGTTTTAAAATCTAAGGAAAACTATTATTTTTTTGAATCGAAGACTACATGAGAATTAAGATAAAAGCAAAAATAAAAATCTATCTATTTCTCTAAAAATTAGTTAAAGTTTTAAATAAAGTTTAAACTCTAAGGAAAAAAGAAGTCATTACTTTTTTTAATCCGCTCACAATCGGCACGCAAGGGATGCGGAACAGACGACTTGTGAGCTTTCGTCAGCTGTACGTCATTTATTGTTTATTTATTTTTAAACCTCCAGTTGACTGTCGTAACATCTGGGTTACGCGCGCGCGATAGGGGCTCAAGGCTCAACGAGCGGACGAGCCTTGAAAAGCCTTTGATAAGCAGAAATTGATGGAAATTGTGTCTCGGAGCGTTCCAATAACACGCGCGCGCCGCGACAGCGGATAAGCGAAGGAAGGAAACGCCGAACGCGTGTGCGTGTGCTTCCTCTCGTCTGGAAATGATTTCACGTCGATCGGTCGCGGGATGGGACAGATATACGTGTATTGCGTGTGTATGTTCACCTTGCCGTTCACGACGTAATTAACGAAATCCCGCAGAGAACGCTTGCAGACACTTAAAAGCTGCGACTCCATCAGCTTGCTGGCGCAGTCGAAGAACCGCTTGAACTGCCTGCGCCGCAGCGGGCTGGGTACCATCTTCTTCCTGTTGTTCTGCAAAGGAATCGGGATAAGGAATCGGTGAAACACGGTGGGACACTTGTCGCTCTTAAACGAATTTATTAGTTAGATTATGAGCGAAATTAAGGAACAAATAAACAAAGAAAGAGAAAACCGAGGATTAACTGTTATATTTATTCCAATTCAGCCGTCGAACGCGCTATAAATTAATGTAGATAAATACTCAGGTAAATAAGAGAAATAAGAAGAAAGCCCATATAAGCTTCCATTAATGGGGAAAAAATTCAAAAGTGAGAATCAAGCGAAATAAATCACTAATTTAACTGATTTTTTTTCATGTTTTAAGGCGACGTTAATTAAAGTTATTCTTGCTTTACCACGAGAAATATCTCTTGGATCCCGATGTACCAGGCTTTCACCAGAATTCGCCGATTGGCGACGATCTGACGAGCGATTAGTGTGTGAAAATTCGCCAGATCCCAGCTCTCCTCATGCGCGATGACGTGCTCCAAATTGATCAGCCGAAATTGACTGAAAGAATTGACGTTTCTCGATAAAACGGGTCACCGCAGCGACAGCGCGAATCGGGCGTTATTCGTAATTTGGATCGATACCTGTAATCGCGGACCCACTGCTCCAGAGTCATCCGCATACATGGATTTATCAGATACAGCTCGGCGTGCAGAATTCTGCGACAATCCTCCACGTGCTTCCGCGAGTCCAGCTGGACGCTCAGCTCGTCCATCTGAATCGCGTCCAGCTGCAACGCGTTCGACAAAAATTAAATCGTCGATGACAAGAGTTACGATCTCCATTTTGCATTTCGCAGCTTATAAAACAGGCATTGCGCCAATAAAATAAAATAAATTATTGGACATTCAGTATGTTTTTGTTGCTGCAATAATTAAATCGTATGTTGAAATAAAAAAAACTCGCCACTGAATAAATAAAATCGACAAAGTTTCATTCTGATTTTGTAAGTTATATTTTTTACAAATTTAAGCCTTAATATTTCATGTCGAAGTATTCAGACTTAAATTTAAATATCTCGAATCCAAAATTTTCATTCTAATTTTTTAATTTACATCTTTATACAATATTCATATTAAAATATTAAACTTAAACTTAAGGCTTAAACTTGAATATCTAAAAGCAAAGTTTCTCTATTCTAATTAAAATTTATATGTTAATGTTTTAAACAATTTAAGCCTTAATATCTCATATCAAAATATCAAAGCTTTAATATTTGGGGG